AGACATTTCTGTAAGTTGTTCAGGACAACAAGGAGCTGTGTTAAAAGTAACTGCCAAATTTGAATTACTCATGGAAATGTGAACTGGCTTAACTAAAAGAGATGAATCAGATACGACACTTGAAAGTCTACAGGGAGGTGGGAAACCAGGGATTTCACCATGTTATGGCTCAGGGATAGAGGAACAGGAAGAGAAGCCCAGGTACACTGTACACATATTGTCTCTGTAATACAACTCAAGTATCTACAGTAAAACCTCGATAAGCCCATGGGTGCTGTGCTGAACTTCTCCTTTCCTTGGCAAACTCTTTCTTCCTAGTTAAAGTTCACGGCTTAAATAGAACTGGAGAAAAATGTAAAATGTTCAAGAAAATAAATTGTTTTAAAGCATTTTCAAGTATGTTGAATCTCTTTAAGGTACTATTGACATTTTTGTTTCAAATAATACTCATTAAAATATTTAATTTAACAAAATAGTCTCACAAATCTTTCTTCTAGAGGATATTTTGCTAATAAGACTGTAAGACTTTCAAGTCAGGAAGATCGAGGCTCAATTCCTGCCTATTCCACTTACAAGCTGTGAGACCATTGGGAAGTTATTTAAATTCTCTGGCTTAGACTCCCCATTTGTAGCATGGTGATAATAATTCCTATAGTATTTACCCCAAAGGGTGGTTGGGAGGCTCAAATGATGGAGTATAGGTAAATATTTTGCAAACTTTAAAGCAATATGTAAATGCCAGTTATTATTATCACTGTACTTGGAAATAATGCACGTGCATTTATTTTAAAATACTATAAAATCCAAAATTTCCAGTAATCTAGTCTGGTTTCCCTAGACAGTTAAATGAGTAAAGATGAACTGTATTTTCTTTTTTATTTCTAAGGAGATAGCCCTAATCAATAAAAATTATTTTGCGTGAGTTTCTTATTTGCTAGTTAGTGAGATTAAAATACCTATGGCAGAAAGGCTAGGGAGAAGTTAAGCAAGGGATGAGGGAAGAATACTTCTGTTCCTTGAAGTGGAAAAAGAGAACAACCACATGGCTGCTGTACTCCATATTTTAGGAGGACTCATCTTCACTTTCACGTTGAGAAGGTGTAAGCTACTATGGTGCCATAGACAGTTAAGGAGTCAGAAGACTTGGGGTTCTCATACTACCTCTGCCACTAATTCATTGTAATCACTTAATTTTGGTGGCTCAATTTCTTCAGCTATAAACAGGATTGATAACCACCTGTTCCACCAACTTCAGGAGTGATGGGAAGATAAAATGCATAACAGATTTTGAAACAGTCATCTAAGAAGGAGCTTCACTGTGGTGTAAAGGTGATCCAGGATTCTTAAAGGCCATGCCATTTATTGATGAGCTTTGACAGGTCCTACCAAGTTGGAAAGGCTTTGAGTGGAATCTTGTTGATTACCTGTGGTCTGTGGATTAGTCTGTAGAGAGATGCTTATCATCAGAAGGTAGGCCATAAAGTTTTATAATTGTTATTATTATTATTAATTAATTATTTGGAAATAGCAACTAAAGAAGACTATCTGCTAAAGTATGCGGAGATTGCTATTTTTGTGAGTATAGGGAATACCGACTCTGGTGAAATCAAAACTTTTTGAAGTATTGAGGTAAGATCTTGAGGGAATGGTTTAAAGTGCTACACAAATGTAGGGAATTTTTTAATAGAGATTACTTGGTGCAACTTCTCTATTTTGCTGATAAAGACAGTGAGGTCTACGGAGGTTAAGTGACTTGTCTGAGGTCACAAGGCTAATAATTAACATCATGAGGATTCTTGACTTCTTGTCCTGCACATTTTACACTCAAAATGGGTTGTTATTGGACACCCATAGTTCTTACTAGTCCACATATTCTAAACCATATTTGGAAAGCATTGACAGTAGTTCCTTTTTCCTTTTCCTGTCTCAGTTTCCCTTTAACTCTTTGTTGTAGAAAACTAGGTAAACATGATAGTTGGTTGCTGGAAAGAAGAGATAACTAGAGGAAATAAAAGATGAGATTTTACTGGAAACCTTCAGTTAGAAATCGAAGTAGTTATAAGTAGATTTTACTCTAAACTCAGAAAAACAGAGCAAGAAAGACTCTCTTGAGTGCTTTTAAGCAAAATTGCAACCTATAGTATCCTGGATAATTTTTTAAACTTCCTGAGAAAACAAGTCTCACTCAATTACTGATTCCCATTTTTAACAACCCTAACAAATGCGAAAATATGTAGATGATGGCTTCCAGGATGTTAGGCAGTAGATAGGAGACGTGGACAAGAATTGAACATCATAGTAAGGTACGGACGGGTCATCATCTGCACTGACGTGTACCCCCATATCCATAAGCTCATAGGTCCAACCAAGTATTCAGTATTAGGAAATATTTTACTTTTGATTTTATTAATCTCATGTATTGTAGCTTAAACCCATTAATTTTCATTTTATCTTAAGTAGCAATAAAAATCTCTCTCCCTTCCTCCCTCCCCCCTCTCCTATGTGTGTGTGTGTGTGTGTGTGTGTGTGTGTGTGTGTGTGTGTGCAAGAGCTCATGCTTATTGACTCAGGGTACTCAGGTTCTCACACTGAAATTCACATCTTTTGAACCTATAGTCTTTCTTCCCTAACCCCATAATGAAAGGTGGTACCAATTGCTGAACTTTGTTTTTGCACCAAATGCTCACTCAGCTATTATTAGCTCATATAACATCATGGTCTTCTCTGTATTCTGGCCAAAACGGTATAATTTTTTAAAAAATCAAAAAGGAAGACATTGGTATATCAACACCACAACATCATCACACCACACAAAAGACAATGGCATGTGCATGCAGGGGTTGGTTAATCACCTGTTTCCTTTTCTGCTGGGCCTAAAACATAAGCAAAGAGAATTTAGAGGGGAAAAATGAACATTACTTCATATAAAACCACATCAGTATAATAGGCCAATCTGGTACAGAAAAAAAAAAAAATGTGGCTCATTTTCTATTTTCACTAGAATGTGATTTGATTTTAGGGGTAATCCAAATATAATTGTAATGACTCTTTCTCCTAAAAAGCTAAAGCCAACAGAATTCAAGAGCGTGGATTTTTTTTTTTCCTTTGATAAACAGGCATTTCTTATCTCTGAAAGGGAAAGGTCTGTTATTCTCTTTTCACCATTTTTAAGGAATGATCCCATAATTGACATTATTATCTTATCAATGGTACCAGTAAAAGAAAGAAAATGAATCTGTGCATTGTATTTTGTGCCTATTAGGAATATATGGCAAAGAAACCATAAACCTTCATTTAAAGGGGTTAGTTTCATATTTCAAACATGTAAACAGGTGCTGTTTCTTGTCACTACCTGTGCTCTAGGCCTAGGGTTATGTCTATTTCACTAGGGAGGGTAAGTCTTACTTAAACGTACAAGGAATAATATTTAATTTAATTTAAAGTTTACTTATGAGAATAGGTACTATAGCTCAGAAATAGAGAAAGAGCTTGTAAGATATAGGAAGGAATATAAAAGTCCTTGCTCCCTTTAAATATTCTCGGATAAGCAAGTGATCTGAATGAAATAAATTACATGGATTTTAATGGAGAAAAAAACATTCCTATGAGTTTTTCTATATAGAGTTCTGGTCATTTCTTTAAGATTATTTTTTATTTACTAAATTTGTCTATGGATGTCCTTCCCTCTACTTTACTTTCTACCTTACATATAGTTTTAAAAGTTTACATAGTCTATTTTTACATTCATTCTCTTTATCAATTTTCAGAAAGCCCAATATCCCCAACCCATCAAAATTATTTCAATGAGTATTCAGAAACTGTATACTAAGATATTTCTTTCTCATTTCTTCCAAATGATCTAATATTCATCGCTTTTGCTTTAACACAACATGATATCATAATTAATGATGTTAAACTGGTAACTAAGGAGATTTCATGTTGTTACTCTCGTGATATAATATTGGTTGCTATAGTGATGGGATGGCTTTTTTTGTTAATCACTCAGGAGGTTGGTTAACTCATGCTTGTCAGAGAGCTTGACCAGATTTGGAGAGAAAAAGAATTCATACTACAGTTAATCATATCATCCTTATTTCATTTTCTGTGATTTTGATAGCAGTTTTAAAATTAGATAATGCTTATATGCCAACTCTACAATGAGCATTTTAATATTTAAAAGTTATTGAGGATTTTCAAATGTTGATTTAAGATATAAAAATGTGTATATTTGAAAAATCATTAACAAAAAGCTTTTCATTCTCCCAAAGTTAATTCCATATGTACATTATGAAACATTATTTATGCTTATTTAAACAATCACAATTCATCTCTCTCCCCTTTAAATTATTTCAGTTTATGCATCTTAAGAAAAAAATTTAGTTCTGTGCCCATGCCACAAGTTTCAATATCTTTTTAAAATTATTCTAAAGATCATTATCCTTAATGAATAAAATCCAAAGAAAGAGAAAAAAAAGCACAGTTCTCTCATGAGATCTAATCTTTCAAATGCATTAATATGTCACAAGTAATTAAAAGCTCTGGGTAGTTCTATCAGTTTATTTCAGTACTGACGATATCAACAAGTTTCCCATTTCTAAGCGTGAGTACAGAACATCAGAAAACAATTTGGCACGACATTACATTGTTATTGATCAAGATAGAATACACTGCCAATAGTTTAAATGTTAGACATACTTACAGTAATGCTAAAAAATACAACCCACGAAAACACCTTTTCGTTTCTTGAAAACTCAAAATAAGAACAAAGGACAACTTAAGCACGAAGCCTGGGTCTTTCATTCAAGCAAAGTCCCAGGAGGCATATTAAAGCAATGAATAGGAAAAAGCTCTACAGTTCACCAGCTGAGATTTTAATGAGACATTTCCCCTTGCTATGGTACAGGTTTGTTCAGGAAAAGGAAAAGACTTCTCACAGAATAGTCAGTTAATAGGCATTGCTGGCTCCCACAGCCACTTTGGCAATCGCTCACTGTACTGACCTTCTATTTTGGCATATTCTGTAAGTCTAGTGTAATTGATCAAGGCAGCCTTCTCTAGACACTTTCTGACCACTTTCTTCACCTCTTCCGCTGGTATTGGAGTGGCAATATCTTTCATTAAAACCTACCAAAAAACAGGAACAAATCATATAAAGCATCTTCAACTCTAATATTTGTAGTAAGCAGTGTTAGACAACATCAAAGGGAAGGATAATTGGTAAATGGGCTATTGCTTGTCATCTGAAACATAGTCCATTCCTCTTGTCTGAACCATCATTTATTAAACGTATCAAAACCTTTCACATGCCATGGCACCATTCTGCATTACTAGTCAGCCACTCTCCAGAAACACTCAAGACCATCCAGTGTAGCAGCAATTGTAGATCAGGATTACGATGCAGGAGAAACGATAAAAATGAAAAGTTTGAAAAGCACACCCTAAGTTCAAAGCCCAGCTTTTCTGAGTACTGCACTAAGTAATATGTGAGAAGAAAAACAAAGCAACAACAAAAATTCGCCAAGGATGAGCAGTGTGAATTGCTTTTGAATTAACACCTTCCTTTCTCTCATCAGTGTATTCTTAATCACTGCAACCTGCTATTACTGATGAGACAATACATTGAAAGTAGAGGAAAAGCTCCCTAGTCTTGGAAAATGTTATTTTATTGACGTTTTCAATGCCCACGTGTGTACATTTAACCTTTCTCTGAAAGATTAAGAGGGTATCTCTCTACTACTATTCATTGGGCTCTTAAATCATGTCTTCCTTATTTCTCTGATGAGATAACTAGGTGAAAATTAATTTAAAAGATGAATGCTTAGTTTTTCAAACTCTAAGTAAACTTTATTCTAAAAGAGATTTCATGTCATAGTGTCTACTTAAACAGTTAAATAATGACTACGAATTCTTTCCCTTAATACTCAGGAATAGATGCATATTTCTCAATAAAATATTTCAATACACATCTGAATGCTTGTTAAGACAGCCCCAACCCTTCATAGCTTCAATAAGGTTTTGTTATCTTGTTTTTAATAAAATTTTTTATTAAGTAAATAGTGGAAAGCATAGACACAAAATTAAAGTACTTAGTAATTTTCAAACATAGCATTTGTTTGGTGAATTCATTGTTCTATTAATTATTTTGTCTTAGTGTAAGCACTATAGGAGTATGAAATTCCCAATTTCTATCTTTATTATTCTATTCCTTTTTGTAACTTCTTTATCATCCAGGACTCTGGTCTCTAATCATCTCAGCTTTATGTTGACCTATAATAGAATGTTATAATTTTATTAGTCAACATTTCCTTGGCTATTTTAAAATGAAAGCAAAATTCAACCTCATCAAAGACTCATTTTTTTCTTCATATAATCTTATGAGGGAAAAAACACTCTAACATATAATTGGGACTTTATGTCACACACAAGGTATTCTACTGCCTGAATAATCCTTGTGGTTTATTGGCCCATGGGTTAAAAAGCTATATATCTCAATTGTTCCCTTTCTTGAGGTTAGAAGGAGAGGCAGAACTTTAATTTCATTGGTCTAGGGAATCAGAAGGAGGAACTTGGTATTGGAAAGGCAGAAATATTTACAGAGATAGTGGAGCAGAGACCTAGTGCAGGAAGGTGGTGGGGGAGCTTCCTAGGTATAGAATTGCCTCCATTGATACAGATAAGTACCTAGTCTGTAACTTAGAGTTGTAGTCTGGGACAGTGTCTGGAACACTTAAAGGTTAAATGATGTGCCTATGCTGCAACAGCTAGGATGTGTCATGGAAAGGACCTGAACCTAGATTTTCCTAGTTCCCAGGCTGTACGTACATATACCATGTTAACTCTTGCTGTTATCAATGAAATCCCAAAATTGAATTGAAAGTGACTTTCCCTCCACCTACCTCCAATGGTGAATTCAATTATTAGGGAAGATATTTGAAAATTACTTGGAATGTGATTCTCTGCCACTTTATGAATATGAGGAATATTTAAATCAAGCAAAATTTCATAGCATAATTGGCTAAATGGAGGAACCTAATTCTTTTCTTGGAAATGGGAGTATAAAAGTTCAAGAGCTATTAAAAAAAAGTGATCTCATATTTCTTCTGCCTTCTCTTCCTTTATATACTTTCTCTTTATATATAAGCCAGTAGAATTCTAGTTTGAAAGGTAGCTTTTTGAAGGGTAGAGGTTTGGAGTTAGGGAGGGTAATGATTACCATACCAACTAATGAGAATATTTGAAAAGGATAGAGTAAGTGACCTCAAAGATTTCTCCCTAATTCTCCCAGAGTCGTGGAGTAGATCCAGTTGGTACAAAGATCACCTTTCATCACTGGTCAGAGAGTATGATTAGGAGCAAGTTTCTTATCAACACTTTTTCTACTTTGTGGAAACCTTGCAAAGGAATTGGGCTTTGAACAGTGGGTCCATCCAACAGACTACCAGTTCCAAATGTTAAAAAGCTTTTAGGGATTTTCTTGTCCCCATTTGTATTGCTGTTGTTGTTAACTCAGTACATTCTTACCCAGACTTTCCAAAATTTACAGCTTGAAGCTCTTCAATATAAATTTCCAATATTATGAAAATCTAAATCAAACAAGAAACTATTACACCAGCTTTTTCAATTCCAGCTTGCTCTAGACGAGGTAGAGTAATCAGGGATGAGGCAATGGAGGGCAGGGTGAGAATATGAAATCCATACAGAATCCAAAGATCTTATTTTTGCAATCAGTTTCAGCTCCCCTTTGCAATTCTTGGAATGGAGTTTGCCTCTTTTTCCTATTGGAAAGGTACTAACGTGCAATGAAATATCTAAAATGAATTTAGCATAAGAAAGGATAGGAGCTGGCAAAGGAAGCCAGTAAATCAGAGCTATGAGATAAGCCCATGAGCTATTGAAATTCTTCAATAAATTCTTAATGGTCATACAGAAGAAGCAGGACTTATCTTATTTCTATAGACCTATTCCCTTACTAACCCCCCATGCTTTTTACATAAATTTAATGGTATAAGGAAGTCTCAATGAAGAAACTCCCTTTGCCCATATAAGATAGCTCCTCCTCTGGGACTGAGAGTTTAGAGAGTTGCTTAGAACACTCCCAGATCAAATGAGTAGCCAGGAGTTATACATTATATAGCTTGTATATAGCTTATGTGTCAGAGGTGGGGTGAGACTTGAACCAAAGTCTTTCTGATTCGGTGACCAGCTACCTAGATGCTATGGTACACTGATGCACTACTCTAATTGTTTATAATACATAAAATAGTTTCCTCCTTTAAAATGTTTGTATTTTAGATGAGACAGAGAAATATACTTTTTAAAAATGTTACTTTTAATATGCAAGGATGGAATTCTGTTTTCTTTTCTCTTATTATGGGAAAATGGATTTCTACATGTTGAACAACAATTGATTGTGCATGAGATTAGGCATCATTGGAAAAATGAATCTCCTTGAGGTGAGTTTTGGATGCAAAGAAAGAGAGGAGCTAATGGATATTGAATGGAAAATGTACTGACTGTGAGGAATGGGAGTGTGATGAGGAGAGATGGAAGAAAAGACAGGAGATACAAGAGGGGTGATGGACAGAAACATACCAATGGGACATTATAAGAGTGAGGAGGAAGTGAATGTGTAGAGAAGCAAGAAGGGCAGAATGCAGGGATCTTTGTGAAGGTAACCCAGCTATTCAGAATGGACAGAAGACAAGAAAGATTACCGCGGCTTCACGAGAGCAGGAATAAACTGGATGACGGGAGGCCAGTGAAACCTCAGGTTTACAGTAGGTGCAACAGCTGCAGAGGAGAAGGATTTTAACATGTGGGGAGAAGGAGCTGAAGATGGAGTATAATGGAGATGAGGAGAAATATCATAAAGACAAAAAAAGTAGTCAAGAAATACATAATTCTCACTAGTTCAATAATAAAAGGACATGGCACGTGAAAATTCAAGTACAAACTTACCCTTTCAAGTAACGAAAGTGTAGCTTTGAGAGCACCTTCAGGCCGTCCAAAGGGAAAGCAGTACCTTTAAAAACAAACAAAAAAGGGACAAGAGGTCAAACATCTTATGTCTAATTTAAAACCTTCTATAATAATTCCTTGTTCAATTATTCATAATAGAATTCAATGAAGGGAGGATAATTTCACCATTTCAACACAGAAGCTTTCGACTGCATGTATTTTGTTCACTTTCATAATACAAATGCCCTAAATGGTAAGAGAACTTACTGCAGTGAAGACTGAGGTATCCTATATCTTTTCAGTAGTAAGTGCTGAAAATATGTGCTTTAAGAAATGTAAAGATGGTATATGGATAATGATGGGGAAAACAATAAAATGCATTTTATAATAAATTCTTCCATTCTTTTTAAAAAGCCTTATTATACAACAAAATCATACATATACATCTGCAATTAAAAAACAGAAGCCCCAGACACCCTCACGCTAGCTATTAGGCGAGGCCTGTAGTGCTCCAGCTCCCTGTCAGTTACCCCTCTGCTCAGTGTCATATTCATAACTCTGCCCATATAACATACTTAAATCCTCTGCCTGTCTTTCGCCAGCCAGTAGCTCCTTGACCTGAGTCCATACCACATCTCTCATGTACCGACTCTTTGATATGTTACATAGATCCTCTGAACATACAGGTACATGGGGAGAAGAGGGAGGAGAGACCAGACTGAGAAAGGTGGGAGTGGGTTGCACAGAAAATTCTCGTCACAAAGTGGCAATATGCTCTTGCTGCTCTTTAGAAGGAGCACCTCTTCAGTCCCCTTTCCACTCGAATATAGCATGTTATGGACACTACCATCCTGGGGGTTCTAGGCTGGGTTCTCCCTATTTTCTTGAGTTACGTTCAGCAAACCTTTCACGGTGTTACAGGAGCTGCACTGGCCTCAGAGTGCCACCTTGCTATGACTTATTCATCTTTCAAAGGATAACTTGAAATAAGAGAAATAGAACTGATTTTTTTCAGATTATCCGTAATCAAAAGCACTTTTACTTTAAAACACTGCTTTAAAAAGCAAACGTATTCCTTTAGGAAACATAAAGATATGATACCAAAACTCCTTATCCTTAAAGATAGTGGATTAAATGCAACTCCCCACATAAACTCACTGCTCCATTTAAGAATTCTTGGTTTCTAGGATTAGAGTTAGAGTCATTGCAGATTCCAGCCTTTTCATTTTACAGATGAGGTGAACTGTCCGTAGTCTTACAAGTAAGGACAGAGGCAGGTTTCAAACTCAGATCCTTGGACTTCAAAATCCAGCATACTTTCCCTTATACTAAGCTGCTTCATTACTATTTAATCTGGTCATAAACCTTTATCTCTGGGGTAATATCATTATATGAAAAAAAAAAGTTGTTTTCTACTTTGATATTGATTTTAAATTCAGGTAATTTTATAAAACTAAATTTCAATAAAAATAGTTTGTACCTTTTTAAAATAAAAGTGTTCATGCTGTCACAAGTTCTAGCTTTGCTAAATTTTTGTTGATCTCATATACAGCTTACAATCACAAAGTCACATAAATATGGTGGTAGAATATTTCAAAATTGCCTTGAGCAATTTATTTGCCTTTCTGCCACATTTTTTCCCTTAAAGCTCTCCCCCAAAGACTCCTTTCCCTCCCTTCATGCTTTTTTGGGGGGGAGGGGGTAATAGGCAAGGAGACATTTATTAAGCTGACTGGTTTCTTTCTTGGTGGGGAGGGACAGTAGTCTTCCCTATTAGCAAATTAGCAAAATGGTTCTAATCATCTCATATATCCACAAACCTTAATCCATTTTTAAATAAAACACAATTTGGCTCTTGTACAGTATTTCCCTCCTCCGGCCTAAATCTTTTCAGTGTATTTGCATAATCCATTCATTGTTCTCTCTATTGTTTATTCCCATTAAACTGTAGGTAACAACTTTATGAATGGAATGCAACTGATCTCCAGATTACTTTTAGCATTTCAGGTCTCTGAAGTCCCGCTGGGTATGTTTTAAATTAGCATTAGCTTCCATTATACACATATATGTAAATATTTCAACACACTTATGGAGTAGAAGTAATCCTAAATCAATAAGGTATAGAAACTATTAGGACCCTTTACATATTCAGGGTGTCCCAAAAGTCTTAGTGCAGGGTTAAACTATTAAAGCTTAAAATTGCATTAAGACTTTTGAGATAATGTGTGTATATACAAACACACACACAAAAACATGTATATTTATACATATGCATACATTTTTCATACATACATATAAACCCATTCTTTAAAAAGATATATATTGTATCTTAAGTGTACACATATTTATATATATAAATATTTAATGGGAGAAAATTCTTTTCATCCAACTTTTTAACACTAATATTGGCTTGACATTATGGGGTGGCTGTCAATTTTTTCAGGACTGTTTAACATTTTCTTGGATAATCTAGATATCAGTATCTGTATATCTATTATAGATGAACCATAAGATTTTTTTTTAACAAAAACTAATTTTACTGCTGTAGCTTTTTTGATATGTGTTGACTAGTAATGAATACCTGAACTGTCATCATGTCAAGATTCAAGGTACGCTGATTGCACCTTTGTGCTGGAAGCAATAATTGGATAATGGAGTTAGTATTGGAAGGGACTTTACAGGACATCCTTATTTTACAGATAAGGAAACTGAGGACTGAGAGGATAAGTATCTTGGCCAAGGTCACTCAAGGATCAAATAGCAGAGACTTCAATTGGTCATTCAGTGGAGATCTTCTGTTTTGATAAAGGTGTCTGAGTAAATCCCTAGGACAGTTTTAATAATTGTATTGTGATGAGAAACAGTTAAATAGCTATAAATATGTCTAATGGAAATGAGATGAATACAAAAAAGAGAAAATAAATGTGTAAGAAATAAATGCTTCAGGTTTATTTTTTTTGGGAGTGGACCTCTAGGTTGTATCAACTCCCTGAGAATTACCCCCAAGTTATTCCAAATGTCCAACTGAAATCTCTTCTATTTTAATGTAAGTCCTTTTCTTCTTCTATAATTATAGAGAAAAAAACTGTTTTCAAACTGGTTATAAAATGTCTCATATACTTGAAGGTTATAATCAAGTCAACCCATGACTTTTTTCTTCTTCTGACTTAACCGGTTCAATTTCTTTATATGATAAAAAGTTAGTATTAGCACAGAAATTAAATCATGTCATTTAGTGCTTGAAGAAATACTGATGATCTTATTTTGTGACAAGGAAACAGGTAAAATGGTTTTCTCATGGTCAGAAAGTTAGTGTTAAAACAGTGAAATAAAAAATTGAGTGAATTGGAAATTTCTTAAAAATACACTAACTGAATTGATCGAGTGAGCCCATTCATATTTTTGAGGCACAAAAAATTCACTCCTTCTTTGTTCCAGTCTTAGGTAGATACTTGTTAGGTTTTTTTCCTTGCCAAGGACAAGCCTACTTGTGTCTTTTATCCCAGACCCTTCCCATCCATGGTTCACTTCTCTCTAATATTTAATTTGGCTCTTTAGGTACAAGGTTCATGGCCACAAAAAAGCACATGGCAAGGTCTTTGTCCTCAAGGAAGTGAGCATATAAAGATAATTAGCAATGTAAGGCTCTATATGATATACATCAGGTGTGTGATATGGATTGCAAGTAATCAGGCCAAGGCAGAGAAAGAAGCGATCACTTTAGGAACTCCAAGTGTGATCAGCTTCAAAGAGGAGGACTTTGAGTTAAACCTTGATAGATGGGCAAGAGAGAAAAAATAAAGGAATTTCAAATGAAAGAAGGAGCCCTTCACTATATTCACTGAAAGGCAGATTGAAACGATATTGTAGAAAGTTTTGCAAGGCTAAGGATATTGGATGTGATCCTGTGGGTAATCGGGAAGCCACTGTAGGATTTTGAGCAAGGAAGCAATGTTATGAATAATCCTGTGGCCCTTTGAAAGATAGACTGGAGAACAGTACTCTTGTAAACACAAGGGAAACCATACCTGAAATGGCTAATTTGGTTTTCTAAAAGGGAAGACAGCCTTTCTTTAATCTCTTCAAACCTTTCTTTTTCTTCCACTGAAACGGTTCCAATTCCATCAGGTCTGTTAAAAAAAAACAAAACAAAACAAAACAGAGAAAAAGTCATTTAATTACAGATAACAGATTTCTTTTATATACTGCTTGGTGATATGTAGCCAGTATAGATCTGCAAAGTATTTTAATGTCAGATCCACACAATTTCAATAATCTATGTTATCTAGACATTTTCTGACCTTGTTTTTGTCTTAAAAGGCCCCTACAACAAAGGTTATTAGCTTTGAATTATACAGATTGGCTTTCTACATAAATAAAACACATTGGATAAATTTACAAATATTCCCTTCATATGCTGACCTAGAATGAAAAGAACTAAACTATTTTCTTTTAGCCAGTGTTCAAGGTAATGGATTATGAGAAATATTTTCCAGATTTACAGAAAACAATGAAAAGTCCTTGAAAATGCCTGTGAATAATATTTTCTAGTAGTACCAAACATTTAACCACAGAAGTGAATGTTGTACAAGTTATAATATTATAAAAATCTACTGAATGGATTTTAAAATATATTAACTACTTTTATACCAAATAGGAGTAACAATTTTATATTTTTATTTTTACCTGCAAGAAATTTTGTGGGGAAATGCATATTATGCACGCAATTAGAAACTCCTGCTACTGTTAGAGATTACATTGCTTCTTTAATTAAAATATAAATGTATGTATATACACACAAAAGGAAAAATGTCTAAAGAAAATTGGAGTCTGAATATAAATCTTCCTTAATTCAGATTCAGAATGAAAGTAAAGATACATCTATGTCAGAGGAATTTATAGTTTTAGCTATATCCTTTCTATAATGTGATCACCTATAATTACGCTACTGAATTCTGACTCTGAATATAAGTACGTTTTTGGTCATGGAACTAGATATAAATCATACTAAACCTATATTTACCTCTTAACCTGTAATATATTTTCATAGCCTAACTATTAAGTATGAGAGCTGTCCTTGGTGATAATTAATAATTCTTGTCCTTATTAATTCTATTTTCTAAAGATTCCATCTTTAATTCTTGAAGATTAGAAGCAGGAGATTGTTTCCCATTATTTCTTTTTTCATTTTAAAATGTGTCATTGTATACAAAAGCTAAGAAAGAATGCACATTTCATGAGAATTAAAGAAAAAAAAACCAGTTTGTAATAACTTTGGACACAGATTTATATTTGATGTGTTCATTGTGATATACAAGGAGATGTATCTTTGATGCTTGTTAACTATAGTCAATTAAAATTAAAGCAATTAATTTTAAAAGTTGCATTTTAATCACAGTGACATAAAGACCTTTCATTCAGCAATCAGATCAAAAGCATCTCAAGTGGAATGAATTTTTCCTACATGTAGATGAATCATTTAAGTGTTTTCATATAAACTTATAAATTACCTAGGTTTATTCTTTAAAAATATTTCCTGCAATTATATCTCATCCTTAATTTATAAAATGCCAAAAGTTTGATTTTCTACTCTAGAAAATTCATCAGTAACATTTATTCTATCAGAAAGAATTTTAATTTAAAAATTCTTTCACAGAAAAAAAAAACCCAAATGTCAAAATATTGGTCATTCATTACTCTTTCAGAGAACAGAAAAAAAAAAGTTGATCTATAATGAAAGAAAAGTATAAAAAAGCATAGCAATTAAGTATTAGCTGATGATGAAAGTTGAAAACAGTTTTATAATAATGAACTTTTCAGGTAATACTTAGACAAATCAACCTTCTTACATGGAGCAGCTGTTACATGACAAACATAGACATGCACAGGTGTTTTCTTGGTCTTAATATTAACAAGCATAAAATCGTTCATGGAAGATTAGCCAAAAGAACTAATGGGAGCTTAAGTTTATTCATCAAGGGTAAGGCTTATAGGTCCGGGGGTTCATGACATCATTATACGATGAAACTTTTTTTTTTCCAACTGAATGATTTTTTTTTTTTTTTACTTGTTGGGTCCAAGTAGAGAACTTCCCTGAATTTTCAAATATTTCAGAGACAGCAATAAAACCAAATGTACTGAAGACACATGAGACTATTTCCTATTTCTATTGCTTTAGTATTTCACAAACTTGACATGAAAGAGCAAATAACTTATCTCCCTTGTTCTGATAAACCGCGTGACACTGCCTCAGCACTCTGAAAGACACAACATGGTTGTATCTGAGTGAATTTCACTGTGAATGCTTGGGGTTGTCAGGTGAGATCATGATCCATAGGATTCAAATAAAGAGTTCTGTCATATTAAACCTCACTGGGGCATGTCATATATATGACAGATAGGAGCCAGGGGTCTACAAAGTGACATGTGAGAAAGGTAAACCAGGACGATGTCACATCGGTCAGCCTTCACCACAACAGAAATTGTCTTACTGAGGGGTTGTCACTTTGCCGCATTTATTACCAAGAGAGGTATCAGCCTGGCATGTTAAATAAAGCACCTAACATTTAGACTTATCATTGATTCTATTCCAAGTAGTTAAATGAACATGCAGTTCATAATGATTATATGAAATGCCCTCCACCCTAAATTATTAACATATGTTAGTAAGTATATATATTATCCAGTGAAAGGACAGCCTGTGTATTCATCCAAAGTAATCCTCTCAGATAGAGACTTGTTTTCTACAGCAAGCTTACAAAGGAAACTCTAAAGAATTTCCAACCAGAAATGAGAAAGCATAATTGATATTAAAACACGATATAGCTGCAGTTGAGACATACTGGTAGTTGACATTATTTAAAACATAACCTTTTACCAGAAACCAAAAGCTTAAAAATAAATGAGAATTTCAAATGAAATTGACATATTTCATGTTAGTATGACATAATATCAGTATGTCAATTATCACATTAGGATTTCAGTTCAAGAAAACCAATACCTTAAATATGAAATAGACACATTACTGAATGGCTCATTTTAAGTTATGAACTTTCAGAAAGCCTTAAATGAATATAACAACCAAACTGTAAGTATTGGGTTCATTTGATTGATTTATTAAGTACACAGGATGTGCAAGATATTCTGCTAGCTGATAATAAGAAATACATATACATATATAAATATATATTTTATTTTCCCCAATTACATGTAAAGATAATTTTTAACATTAATTTTTAAAAACTTTGAGTTCCAGAGTCTCTTTCTCCCTTCCCTTCCCCCCTCCCTGAGATGGTAAGCAATTTGATATAGGTTATATATGTGCAATTATGCAAAACATTTCCATGTTGATACTATATGTTTTTAAAAAATCTTTATATACAAATTTAGATCTTGTGCATTTTAGCAAAAATAAGTGTGAAAGATAGAAAAAGATCAGTTAAGTCAACTTTTGTATTGTTGATTATAGCAAGCACTAAATTATTATTAACACTATTATTAATATTAATAAAGCACACATTTGGAAACTTTTATGATCTAAAAGTAGAAAGAATAGAAAATTAAATAAAGAGCGGAGGAATTGAGATTTTAATATGTTAATATGGGTAAAAAAGCTTCCATATCAAAATATAACATGCATTTTATACACAGAATTAAAGATTAAGGCAAAATGTCATTATTACTATTTAGTAATTTAGAATTAGTAACTTTGTTAATAAATCATGATCTTTTAAATCTAAGAAGGAACAAGAAATTTTTCTCAACATAAAAACAATGAAAACTGCATCTTTTCATAACTGCATATTTGTAAGATCACTAGTAAAAATAAATAAATAAAATATCAATTATTTTAAAATCTATCAAATTCCTCAACTTCCTTTTTAAAAATTGATTGAAGGACCCCAGGCAAGTCACTTAACCTCTGCTTTTGCCTACTGGAGAAGGAAATGACCAACCACTCTAGTATCTTTGACCAAAATAAAAAACCCATATAGGGTCACAAAGAGTCAGGCATGACTAAATGACTGAACAATAACATTGATGATCCACTGACCATTAGATATCAATATGGTTCCAACAGTTAAGGTGGAAAGTAGGGGAAGGATGGCTATGATTCACTTCTGACACTTTTATTTTCTAAAGAGAGGATAGTAATAGACAATGTGAGATTTTTGTAGAAGCAGAGTTCCATGAGAATGGAGTTTAAGGTAACTACAAAACAGAAAATATCTCTCAAGTGAAACTCCTCCTTTTAATCAAAGATATTATTAACGAAGTCATTATACAGAATTTATTTCTGCTTTAACCAATAAGCACTCAAAGGCCAAATGTTTATATTAATCTTTCTTTCAACATTCTTATAAAGCAGATTTAGTACAATATGACTAATAGTTGTGGCTTCTCACCTGAGCTTATGTTTATGCATGGGTCTTTTTCACATAGAACATGAAAAAGGTGTTTTTGAGAGCCCTATTCATTGCAAATTCATTGGTTTATAAGTTCTATCCATGTTAGTTGTATGAGATTCCTTAAAGGGCAGAAGGATCTGCACCATTCTGGAAATTTGTGATTTGTTGATCTAGCAGATATAGAACATATTAAAATTAAAATTTAAGTGTATTATGACACATCATATTGGGATACTTACCACCACTATACTTGAAAGTAACAGATCTAATCACCCTGTATTAGAAAACTTATATAGCATTGTACCAACAAAAACACTCAATTTTGGCAGTACAAATTTATTCTTTTTCTTCATTTCATGAATTTAAGAATCCTCTATGTTTAATCCACTATCTTGAACTGACTCAGTAACTTGTAAGTTTGGAAATATTTCAATATCGAACTTTTTTCAATCAGTACCTGCTAAACTATGCCAGCATCTATGTCTTTGCTTATTTGAGCCAGCAGATTTCTTCCAGGGCTCTTAAAGGAAGTATATTAAAGGTTTGAATGTGTTCATTAATTTTAATGCTCGCTATCTATGATTCTAACATTACCTATGAAATATTATTATAAGTATTCTTCCACAATATTTTGGGATATATGGTAGATATCTACTACATGAGAAACAATGAATCACATTAGTGCCTAAAAAGGTCTTTTTGTTGTTCAGTCATTTTTCTTC